CTAGCGACATCTGTGCGCAAACGCACGCCAAGGTGTGGGCATTCCAGGAGCACCCCAGAAAATCCCTGGCGAAAGAAGGTCTTTGAATAGGCGGGTATATCCATGTAGTTACCATGAGGCCTTCCTCTCAAGCGGGGAATCTTCAGGTTTTCCGTTTCCAGGCACGGATGCAAACGGCTGCCTTCCTCTAGAAAAGTGAATAGGTGGAAACAAAAGCAGCTTTTATGAAGCAGAATCAGCTTGCTCAGGGAGACAGAAGCTGACTCGAGGACGTTATTAAAAGACACGGGAGCATCCACACGGCGAGGGAGGAAATTGAAAATGTCTGGGTTCGGTGGGGCCTTGATTTAGTTGTTGAAAATGAAAGGGTGCGCGGAATGATGAGCCCACGCTGACAGGCGCACTGCTTAATCAGAAGAATCTAGCAAATTAATAGGTAATTCTGGTGGAAAAACGAAACCTCTCTTGGGTGGAACATTAATTATCACGCTGCTATCAAGGAAAGGTGACAATGTGGACGTGTCTAGGAAGAAGGGAGGAGAGAGTGGTTTTCAGGGTCAGCGAATCTCCTCCTCGCCTCTCTCTCTCCATCTTTCCCTTCTTCTCCCTCCTTTCTTTTCTCTTCCTCCACTTCTCTCCCTTCTCTTCCTTCTCCATTTTTTTTCCTTCAGAGCAAAGAGAAACAACCTAGGAGAGGATATTTTCCCCACAGGAAGAGAGCCATGAGCTGTGCAAGCAGGGCATTCCTGGTTGCGCTGGGATTACACGTGGCTGGTTCTTTTGTTTGCCCGGGAAGCTGCCTCTGCTAATCGCTGAGAGAGCGATTTGTATTTCAGCTCAAGACTGGTGTTGAGACCAGGCTGTGTCAGGCTCTAAGTTACTCTGTGTTGTATAAAACCATGCTTTCTTTTTCCAGGCTGTTCTTTGCCTTGGGAAACTACATTTTACAAGCACCCCCCCCCGCCCCGCCCCATTCTGAAGGCAGAGGCTGACTGGAGCCTCTGGGTGGACCTGGAGACTGTACCATCTGCCAGCGCCATCCATCCGGCACACACCAATACGTGACTCCTTGGTGGGACTAGAAAGGGAGCTGCCCTGTAAAGTTACTGGGAGCGAACTGAGATTATAGAAGCACAGAGGTGCGTTAAGATTATCTAGGGAAAGCAAGCCCCAGACTTAACTGACGTACCAGATTGAGGAAAGGGTGTACCACTCCCACCCGGATTCCATAAGGAGACACGAACACCAAACACTATGATGTCACAGTTGCGTAGCAACCGGTCATCCAATACCTGTGTGTGCCTCAAAGACTCGCCCCACTGGATGAATTAACTCCATCCCCATTCCATCCCTTATAGGTCGGAGCAGCCTATGTGCCTGCCCATGCACCTGTTTGTGCCTAGACATGACCCGTTTCCTGCTCCTGCTCCACTACCTGCTCCAGACTCAGGCCAGCCTTTTCTCCAGCATCTCCTTCGAACCTGGTACCAGCAGCTTCCAACAATGGGCCCGGTTCATTAGCATCTATGCAGATCTTTCCTCAACTTTCAAAACTTCTTGAATTCAGTTGTAGCTGCTTTAACTTGTATTCATATACATACACACATAACTCGTGTGTGTGTGTGTGTTATGAGTGTTAGTTAATATTAGCAATTAAGATGGGACTAAAAGAACCCATATTTACTTTGGTCAGGCTGCCTAGTCAGTTTGGTTTTACCACAGACTGCTGCCATTAAACATACTATGAATGTATTGTTATGCAATAAATTCTGACGTCATGGGAAGACACAGGCATGTTTGCCTATATTTCTGGCATAGCATATGCCAGACAGCCAGGCTGGCTTCCTTAAGAGCTTTCCTGCTCCATCTCCTCCTTGGCCAGTGCTGGGATGGGGCTGTTCGGTTTTCACGCAGTCTTGCAGCTGTGAGTTAGGCTGGTCCTGTCCTTTCCTAAAACCATAGTGGTAGGTTGGCAAGGCCCAGCTCTGGGGCTGCCTCACTGGCAGTAAGCTGAGGCTCCCTCTCCGTGCCCGGGTCTTTCGTGCTTTCTGACTATCGGTGCACTCTTCCCACGGCTATGAATGCCTTCTTCCCACTTCCAGTCTTCAGACTCTGGTTCAGGGCTCTTTTGGGGCTTGAGGACAGACTCCCAAGTTTCAGTGTGTGAGCTCTAACCCTTATTTGTGGCCTTGTGGGAATCGAAGGAGGTGGGGTCTTTTAAAGGTAATTCAAATTGCATACAGTCATTAGAGTAAAACCTTCATGATTGAATCCAGGTGCTTTACAAGCCGAGCGTCCAGAGAGCATGCGCACATGCTCTGCCAGTTTCTGACCCCGTTGCCCCTCCCTTCACATCACCTATGCGCCGCCGTATTCACGAGAGAGTATCCCTAGATGTGGCTCCTTGCCGTAGTTTCTCCAGAGCTGTCAATCAAAATCATCTTCCTTTCTTTGTCACTCAGACACTGATGTCGGGTGACCAGAAACAAACCAACAGCAAGATCCCCTCCCTGAAGCCGTCTGTGATTGCCTCACAACAATTAAATTGGTCTTGGAAAGGAATTCCCCGGTGCCCCGTTTGTGCTTTTGCTATAACATCTGAGATCGCACCGGACGGCTGCTTTCTATGAACCTGGAAAGGTGGTAGTGGACGGCACATTTAGTTGCCCCAGGGATGACTACGTGATAGGGACTTAACTGGAAGTAAGGGTCTATGACTCACACTGGATGGGAATGTGGAGTTCCAGGCTGAACTTCTGCTAGGTGTTTCCTGGGAATGGGTCTTTCGAGGGGATCTGGGAATCTTACGAAGGGGGTGAACCAACAGAGCCATTTCTTATTACTACTTGTCAAAGTATTACTGGCCACAATACTCTTGAATGAAGAACGTGGATGGGGCCGAGTACTTTAAACCCACACACCCACCCTGATCATCCCTTGGTGCTGGTTTGGAAGAGTACATTGGGGATACTTCCTTTCAACTACCTATGCGACACACCCAAAGCTAAGACCGTGGCAACCTTGATCTCTTTCGCAGTAATGTCACCAGCTTTAGCTCCCTTCCCCATCTCCCTTCTTTCCCTGCTTCTAAGAGTATATACCGGAGTGTGTGGACCTCAGATCTAGTTACATGGGACTGACGGCTGGATTGCCTGCAGCCTGCACCGTCTACACATGCTGGGAGCCAGTGACAAGTTGGTAGGGATGCTGTGCCCCTGACAGGTTGGTATTTGGCCATCTGTGAGTGATAAATCAGTAGCTCCCCATGACCAAAGAGTAGACAAGTTCTTGCTAGAATGAAGGTCTTATGAGGAGGAGCGATGGAGTTTCTTTCAGCCTAAACTATGTATCACTTCCAGTAGGTCTTGGTTACGTTTATTGCATCGATGGGCACATTACAGTATTAATGTAGGATCAGAAGTTAGAATCTTATGCTAATTGCAGATGGCAGAGAGAACTCTGAGATGCCTTCTACCTCAGAGCCCAGGAGCTGAGCCAAGAGCACCATGGGGTATGTGTACCATTACAAGTGCAGATGGCAGAGACACCTTTTCAAGAATCAAAGTTGCTGTAAAACACACAAGGCCTTGCTAGGTGTAGACAGGTCATCTGAATGCTGAACCAAGCATCCCAAGAAATGGCATCTTTGTCAAGTGTGTTTTCTTGTGTTCCGAATCTTCTGACCCAAAGCAAAAAATAAAACAGACCATGCTTTTGTTTTTGTTCTCTCTCTTTTTTTTTTTTTTCCTTTCCCTAAGCCTAAACGAAGTGTCACCCATAGTTCTGGCACTCACTCAAGAGCTCTTGAATGAACGATCTCAAGGGCAGGCAAGCTGCCTTGGACATCTGTCACAGTGCTGATGGCCAGCATGAATCTGGCTGCTCCAGCTGGCTGGGTGTGGCCCCACGTCTTGTCTGAGGGGCCCCTCTTCCAGGAGACTGGACCAGGCTCAGGCTACCTCTTCAGACAGAGGAAAGGCTGCGAAAATTCCATGCTGCTGCTGCTGTTCCTGTTTCTCAGCACCCGTTTCCCACTGTTTCCATAGCTGCTTGCTCTCTATGGAACACGTTCCTCCTTTCCAGACCCCTAGCCCACGTGGCCCGTAGTCAGGGAAGGTTATTTCTTCCCAATTACCCTAGCATCTTCAACACCAGAGTTGTGACCAAGACTTTCCTCCTGTGTTTCGAATGACAGATTTTTGGCAAGGCCACCAGTCTCCTTAAACCAGATAATGGTCCTTAGGAAGCCAGAGGAGTCAAAAAAAAAAAAAAAAAAAAAAAAAAACCCTAATGACTTCTCTACTGAGAGCCAAGGGGAAGACAGGTGCTTCAACAGCCCGTGGATGGCAGGGAAGGTGACTGCTAATTTTACGAGAGCTTGGAGATATTCATAAAATATCATAAAAGTGATTTTCATAAAAAATACATTTATAAAAGTCATACCAGGGGACCTGGAGCCACTTTTGCCCTGAAACCACAATAGGAAAGAACTTTCTCCCATCATCCAGCTTTGTCATTTTTTTCCTAAGGCCCAGATTGCACACAGACTACTTAACGGGACGGGGCAACAAAATGGCAGCTAATTCCAGGTTAGCTATTAAAATACCAGTCTCCTCTGGTGAGCTTGCACATGGAGATGGAAGGATAAAACGAGGCTGGACTGTATTTGCTTTCTCTGTGTTTGTCCGGGTCCCTGGCCCAGCCAGGAAGGTAATATATGAAAAGGGACATTTTTGGAATAGTTGTTTTTGAATTATGCTCATGAAATACATACCATGCTGCGGCGGACATGTGGGAAAGCTACATTCTGACTGCATGACTAATTTTTAAAGCCTTGTACAGAGAATACCCTGCCCCTGCCCCCCCCCCCAACCCTGCACACAGCTGGCTTATTCCTCCCTGGACTGGATGTGTCAATTCTGAATTGAACCGAAATGAAATTTTACTCCATGATGACAACACAAACCGAAGAGCTGGCCCAGCAGCGAAGGGCATTGTGTACACCAAGAGATATTACTTTATTAGTTTAAGAACGTGTTTTACATAAAAACAGGCAACATCAAAAGAGCTCAGTTGGTAAATGAACATAATATATCACAGATGATTTCATTCCACATTCACCTACAATTTATGAGCTTAAACTGAAGGACTGGGGGGAAATTGGGTCTCATTCCACCTTTAACCATGGGTACAAATCGCTTGAAAGTTATTTCATTGGGATTCCCAAACCAGACACTAACCTACGCCATCGGATCCATGCAGCAAGTGACGAAATCAGAATCGCAAAGGAAATGCTGAGTTCTTTTTTTTTCTCCAAATCGAAACCTTTCGGGGGAACTTGTTAAATGTGCCAAGTCCCCAGCCCATTTCTTCAGTATGCAGAAGCAAAATACTATTTAATTTCACGCACAACTAATCCTTTAATAATTTTCTTTCAGTCAGAATGAAAAAGGCTAATATTAATTTCCTAATACTTTTTTTTTAAAAGTTGTCAAGGATGTGACTCTAACCTTGGACCAGTTTTAATCTCTTTTTATTTATTCATCGAATACACCAAGGATTTAGTGTCCAGGGCAAGTGAGAAGTTGCCCCCAAAAACCAGTCAAGGTCTCTTCCTGACTATAGCTGATTGACTTGGAACAAACTTGTTAGGATGTTTAACACCACTTAAAATCCTACTCTTAATACCAACAGTTCTGAAGGCTTAAGCACTAATTACTTTAAATTAATAAAGTATGTCACAGTTAAAAATATACAACTTTACATTGAAGTAACATTAAGGGTCTCAGTTTAATTGACCAAAAAAAAATGTTGAGGAAATGTGCAGGTACAGTTGAGAGAGATAGCCTTTTCTTGATGGGAATCAGGGAATCCGGATCCCTCATTTGTCTCCACGGGCAAACCGCATGACCACAACACCTGCCAGTTAGATGCTCATTTCCCGAAAAATGACCACAGAGGCCTCCTGTTAGAGCCAGCAACAATAGCAAACGAACCAAAAGGCCTCCGCAGAGGCATGCTAAACCTCTACCTTAGATTTCCTGTTTCCCACTGGTTTATTACCCTTAATGCTACTGGCTGGCGGGCTGCATATTTGAGATGATTAAAAAAGAAGAGAGAGCCCAGAGCCCCTCCCCCGTCTGTATGTAATTACATACGAGCCAAAGCTTCCATCTGACATCCCGGGGTCCCAGTTCTTAACTGTTCCATGTGTAAGCACCGTAGAGCCCAATTGGGAAGTACTTCTGCAGCCACCAAATGTTTCATATGTCCTCAAGTTTCCCTGATTTATTTGCCCTTAAACACGAGAGTAGGAAGTGGTATTTTATGCTGGCTTCGAATGTGAGTTGACAAAAGTGTTAATTGTGGGGGCACTTTCACTGTTAGCTGCTACTCTCCCCACAGACAAGGGTGGCTTCGTGAAATCTGATGACTAAATTCGGAAATCCAGATTTCCAAAGAAGCGTGTGGCTAACCCTCCACGCAGCATTCAAACCAAAGCTCTGTTGGGTCAGAGAGGTATTTTGTTTTTTGTTTTTGTTTTTCCAAATTACCAATGGAAGTGGCAGGCAGCTCATGAAAAAAGTGGACCTTCGAGCTGATCAACTTCAAGTTCTTTAAAAAAAAATCTTTTGACAAATAAAAGGAAAGAAAAAAAGAAAGGAAAGACTTAAAAAAAAGAAAAAGAAAAATCAAGCAGTAATTTTAAAAGACTCACAAATAATAGAAAATATCTTATAATATATGATCAGTTTTTTAAAAAGCATGTCCAATAAGTAATTATGTTACAACTACCATCTTGGGTCTTGGGGTGCCCCGAAACTCTGGAATCACAATGAGGGCAACGTACCAGAGGTTGAGTTTTCCTCCAGAGTCGAGAAAAAGTTGAGAGGCCTGAGATGTGCCTCCCACTCTTTAGGACAGGCCCTGAATAGCAGACTTGAGCCTCAGGCACATTTTTATGGTCAAATTAAAAACCTTGCAGAATAGGAGTTTATCTTGGAAATGCTGACAGGGCTTTACCCAGAGAAGGGCCAGTGGCAACACAATAATGTGAAGAAAGCTCTCCCTCAGCACAACTGCTCTTCCACACAGGGGATAGAGTTGTCTAACGGATGCCTTTGGCCAGCAAACAACTGTGATTTAACACACTCGCGTCCTGGTAATTCGGGAGCCCTGTGACCCTCTGAGCCAATTTTTCTTCCTTTCTTTCTTTGTTTTTTTTTTCCAACTGAAATATGCCTCAAAGGGTAAAGGATCGCAATTTTAGCCCTTCATTCACCAATCTACTGTGCTCTTTCAACAGTATCTGACAGACCTGTTAACTGCCACTCCTAAGATCAGGTTGTAGGAAATCTCAGTGAACGCAAGACACGAAGTGTGTTCTGTTGTTCCGCACTCCCTCCTCCGCTCGTGTTAATATGTACGCACCACGAGTGCGTCAGATGAGGGCACGGCCAGAACATTTCCAGGGACCGAGGGTCTTAACTTTTCCTTCTAATGGTTCAGAACAAATCACACGTTTATTGATCATGATGAAGAAAGCAGCTTCTGCTACAATGCGGAGGGGTAAATGTATTCATTAATATGAGAGGGTCTCATCCACAGAATTGACTTACAGGAAGCAAGGAGAGAAGGGTTGTTCAACTACTCTATTCTCAAATGGAAAGATTCCTTTAAATACCACAGGGCTGGTCCAGTTAGTAAAGGAAGGGCAATTCCCATTACCAGACTACCACCGTAAGAGTCATATTCAATACTCAAGAATATGTAAACACTCGTGTTAGTTAAGTGGATAATTACAGAGACACACAGCCATCGTGGCACATAGCTGTTCTATGATACACAAAATGAAATATAGGGTTGATTTGGTTATGGAAATTCAAAGAACACCACCACTTAATCATTTCAAACTGGAACTATTCCGAGAATGTTGAGTGGGGAGAATGTAGTGTTGGCTAAAGCCAAAGCAATCTGGGTGCACAGAGTCATTCACGAGTGTCTGCCTGTTCGCCCTCTGAGCTACACCTCTGATGTCTAAGATCTTGGTAGCTGAATGCTGGAAAGATGACTGGATTACTGCAGTCCATCTGCCTGCTCGATCTTTCTACTTGACAGGTCAATCCCACTGTTTATTCAGCATAGATCACTGAAACTCTAGAGGGGTGCACTGCCATCTTCTTTCCGAATGGGCTCAGAAGTCTTCTGAGCTGCCCTTCTGCAGCATATGAGGAAGCCTCTTGAGTTCCCCGAAATGATGATAGACAAAAGCCAGAGCCCTCACTATGGACCTGTAGCACTGGATGCTATGGCCCTATGTTAATGACCAGGGGGAAAGCAGGAATTTAGAGAAGGTGGCAATCTGTTATTGGCCATAGGGTATTTTGTAGTCTCATACATGGAGTTGAGGCTCAGCTATGCCATTGCTTGCTAATCTTAGAATAAAAGTGCTTTGCCTTTCTGTTCCAGAGAAGGTAGTGATTTCTGATCAGTTCTATGCCCTTCACCAATATGAACTCTGTCTACAAACTAGCACCCTTCCTGGTGGTCTGTGTTCTGTCTACTCCCAACATGCAATTTAAATAATATGCTGATTTATACGATTTTGTACTTTTACGTGCTATCATTTCTGGGCTCTCAAAAAAAAAAAAAACCTAAGTAAATGTTGATTTAAATGTGGAAGACCAGCAAATGTGGGATTCTGTCGTGTAAAAGTCCATACATGCATAGAACATAAAGACTGTGTATGAATACTGTAGTTGAAGATCGGCGTGGAGTTCGAAGATAAAGACCTGACAATGAAAAGGTTGTTCGTAACTTTCAAGACACTAAAACACATTCAAATTAAGAATGAGAAAGTAAAGACCACTTGTAGCCATTCTGAAGTCTATCACTGTGCTTTCCTGGGTCAAAGCTGAGAAAACACTAGAGCAACATTTGCGTTGGGCCCAGTCTCCCAGGCACCCCTGAATCCTTTTGGATCAAGGACACAAAAACCAGGAAACAACAAGCCCATATTCTGAGATGCGATCAGCTCCCAAAGAAACTCAGGTCTAGGGAGACAGACTGGGTAGCAGGGGTGGAAAACGAATCCCAATCAGGCCCTGGCCCGAAACCACGAAAGCAACACATCTCTCCTGGGTGACTGGAGACCAAGCTACAGTAAAGAAAATCATGAGCGGCAGTTTCAGCCTCCGGTGTCTTCCGGGAGACTTGCAGGTGCCTAGAGTTACTCATGGAACCGGCTTATTTCTCTGAAACCCATCCTTAGACCCTTTTGGACTGTGTTCCCACTGTACTTTCTTTCTCATCTGCCACTTTGCAAAGCACTGCCTCTTGCTCCCTCTCGCCCCAGATCTTTCGAGTTCTGTGTTGGTTTCACACTGGTGGCTATGGTCCCGTGTAAAAGCGGCTGAGAAGAAGGAAACACGGGACCTTGCGTTCTCTCGCTGGTTCGAATGCCAGCCCTGTAGAGCACCTGGTTATTTATTGCTCTTTTCACCAGTAGGTTCTAGATCTTTCCTGATTCTGAGCAGACAGACCCCAACTCACCGAGCACAAGCCAAGGCTGGGTGGTTCCCCGAGGGTCTGCCTGGCACTAGCAGCAGCTAATGGGGAAGCAGCATGTCAGGGGCGTCATCTGCACATCTTTGTATGAAGACAGGGAGACACCGTCCATCGCTTGGGTGAGGCGGCCACAAACCTGATTCCCTCGGATCAGAGCAGAGAACTCGCTGCAGCTAACCAGCTTACTACTTAGGAAAGGGAGTCCCTTCTTCATAAAATGGTTAGGAATGAGGGGTGCATCTACGGACGTTATAAAACCTGCCGTGCTCCAAATCCACAGAGAAGGATCCGCGATGGAGCATCCTCCCTGCTCTTCTTGTGTGTGGATATTTTAGGGTCCTAACGACGCCCTTTGGTCTGCAACAAAACCCAGAAATGTGTGTGAATATACCCAAGGTTCTGGAAAATTACCCAGCAAGGATTCTAAAGAAAATTCTGTGCACTCAGAGGGCTGACAGGTGCTGTTACCTATTGCAGATCCTAGCTCGACTGATGAAAACATTCATTGCTTCTATATTTAAAAAAAAAAAAAATTCAAATTAGCCTTAACCCTTGAAGGACCCCTATTAGCAGCAAATTACCATCGTCACAAACACCACATGCCTTCTCATTCAGTAAAGGGAGCTTGCTACAAAGGTACCCAAAACATACTTTCCGCCGTTCACGCATCGAGTGCTAGATAGATCAGAGGAACCTGTTTTACAGAAGTTTGGGGGAGGGGGAAATCTCAGAGTCTTAAAAGGGTTAAGCTAGGGCTTGGAGTAAAAGGGTCTTATTAAAAGGGTGAATTAGGGGAGCGAACAGTCTCAGAGGAGCTGGGAGAGTAGTCTTCTGATTCCGAGTTGAGTTCTGGTGGAGCTGGCTGTGCCTTGTATCTGCTCCTCACATCCTGGTTGCGTCTTCGTCGGAAAACCTGCCTCTCCTTATCAAGAGCGGTGGTCTAGCAGGGGCATAAAATGAGAAAGAGGACAATTAGGCCATGGGGACATGGCAGGAGAGATGCTAGACATTTTGCAGTTGAAAAGTATGCCGGCCCAGCCAACCTGCCCATCATAGCTCACTTATGTCAACAGACACCATTCTTGGGGAGCCGGTTAAGGGACCTGGTCATGAAGGTCGCAACTCATCCAGCGCTACCAGCTTCCTATCCATCACCCAGTGGCTTCTAGAACCATCCCCACATTAAACAGGGGCTTCAGTCCCTTGTGTATGACAGGTAAGGAAGCCTCTTGGGTCGTACTGACCAACAGGCAGCTTAGGGCACAGGAATGATAAGGCTAAAGGGTGCTGAAGTCCTGGGAGGTGGAAACAGCCTCCCTGCTGTGTTAGCGATTCTCACTCTAAACAATCTTATTGTCTCTTGATGAGGGACTATCTCTAAACCTTGGGAGGGGAGGAGTGAATTTTAAGGAAGCCAATGCCTGAAAGGGAACATGGCTTGGAATGAAATTAAACCTCATGACTACACCCTATGGATTTCACTTAACAAAGTCCATTTTCATAAAAGTGAAGGTTGTGAAGGTTGTTTTTTTTTTTTTTTTGTCTTCTTTGAGTATTCCAACCTCTTGTCTCTATGCCTGATTTTACCAAGGAACCCTCAGACTACCTCTGGGATGTGCTCCCTGGCTGTGACCCAGAAGTTATTACAGCGTTAGGATGGGGACACAGTGTGACTTCATTTCATATTTAATGGGTGTGGGGATGGACTGGCCCATGATAGCAAAACCTTAAGAGAAAGCAGAAGAGCAGGCCCAAAGCTGGAAGGAAAATACTGAACAAGGGTCACAGTGGAAAAGGCACCTTGTCTGAAAGTTCCTCTTTACAGGGCTGTAGCCTGGAGGCGGCTCTGTGAGTGAGGTCACTTTCCTTCCCTCTGCGAGGATATCTGCCGCCATGATCCCCCCCCCCCCCCCGGAAATTTTACTGTTGGTTTCTTCAAAGAGCTGAGATAAATTTATAGCCAGCCTGGTTCTGAGAACCAAGTGAAAACCAAGCCCCTCATACAATTGCAGAATAGCATTAGAACAATCTTAGATCTAAAAGAAAGCAATCAAAGTTCCAAAATGAAGTAATAAAGAGCGAAATAGAGACAGCGTGTAGAACCGGGGCAGTAAATGGCTCACTTAGGCTGGCCGTTTCCACTTTAAAAGCGATCCACATGCCGAGGAATAGCATTAGGAGCCAACGAGGGTGATAAAGTTTAATAATTCACTTCTCGCTTCACAGAACAGTTAAAACCCAACCCAATGGCCGCTGTCGAAATGTCTGCCTCGATTCTGCCCCTCGCTGAATTTTTAAAGGACCTCGTCTGTGTCGTTTTGGGTCTCATACCCACCGACTTCATGACAACTTCAGCCTCACCAACCTAAATTCCTAACTTTATTTAAAACACTGTAAAGTCACAACACATGGTATTTTGCTTTTCAAAGCAAACGGAGAAAGCTCTGTTTGTGTGGAGTTGGGTGTGTGTAGAAAACAGATGTCTATTTAGTCTGTCTGACACAAAAAGCATGCTGTAGTTAATCCAAGGGTAATATAAACTCGTCTCCTGGTCATAAAAAAAATATAGTTGTGTTTCTACCTTTCTGCGGATGAGAAACTCGCTGGCCCTGGACAGAATGCTGATGGGGGGAAACACGGGCGGTCAGACAGGGAGGGACACACCGCACCGGGAGTGTGCACTGCCCTGTGTGGCCCCTTCATTCGGCTCAGTCATTATTCCCCATTATTCCCTGCAAGGGAGCAGACATGGCCTCTTCTCACTCGGACAGAATCGCTGCAGATAAAACTGGACGCCTGAAAACTTTGAAGCCGCCAGGATCTGCAGAGGTGCGAGGCGCCTTCTTTTTGCCTTTGTAACTTGATGCAAGAAAAGGCTTTAAGATGAAGCCAGGGAAGCAAAAGCATGCCCCTACCACAGTTGACTCAGAGGACTCCCCCCCCCCCCCTCAGTGCGTTTGCCTAGCTAGCACCTATCCTGGCAGCTATCCAGTAGCGGACTGAACTGAGATGGATTTGAACTGTGATTCTCCCTGTTGACTTCTCAGGGGGCCTTCAAACATCTAGGTCTTGATGTCCCTTGGACGTCTATGATTAGCTGTGTGTCCCCTGAAATGGGACGCTGCCCCCGAAACACAGAATGCAGTTGGTACAGAAGCTGGTGGCGCTCATGCCCAGCCTGTGCTCAGAGGGTCCCTCAGTTTAACCTTCCTTACTTCAGACTCTCTTGGGATGGTCATGTCGTCTTCCTTCCTTGTTCATCTGCCTAGAGTAGCCTTTCACTGCTCTAAGTACTCAATGCCACGTGTCCCACCTATCTCCTTAATTGGTGGGGTCTAGATGATCACCTAACTAGATAAACCTGTTCGCTTACAAGCTCCCAAATTTCACAGCACTTCCTAGAAAGGTGACTGGTGATTATCTGTTCTGGAGGAAGGGTCAGATGATAGTTTCTACTGAATTTCTAGAGGCTTCAGAGTGGAAGAGGCTGTCCAGAGAGTGTCTGCCCAGTGTTCTGTCTTTATAGGACCGAGGTTGAGGCTCAATATGTGGAAGGATTAGCCCATGAACTACACTAAGAATATAACTCTCACCTCTTGCGCAAGGCCCAAGCAAGCATTTACTCTGTAATCTATTGTAACAGGCTAAAACAGAGTTTCCATGTGTGCGCCGCTAACTCCAGCTCTGTATTCATATCAAGTAGCAGGGGAAGACCCTAGCCGCAGATAGTATCCAAGATCAGATGCTGAAGGGACCCCCATGCTGATGGTCAGAAAAAATCTTGGGGAACATTAAGTCAGTATCCACCCAGGCCAACCCACTCTGAATCTGGGGGACTGTGACTTCCTAAACCTCGTGCTCACCACAGTAATGAGGGTTTCCTGCCCATCTGGGTCACTGTAATATTTATCAATGGCTGCAAACAAAGGCTACATAGAGATTTTTTTTTCCATAAGCCTCTGTGCCCTGAGACCCAGTAATTCTTTTTCTAGCTCTGGGGACTGTGGTTGGCTTTAGGAGGTTTGTCCATCCCCATTCCCACACTGATGTGGTATGTATTGCGTGTACTATGTGTCCTGCATAGATCATGACTGTTTTCTTACCCATCTTAGAGATGATATAAAGGGCCATGATCAAATCTTAGATGCCTTCTTGTCAGGAGCCATTTCCCCTCTAAAAATCATTACAGGAACCATCACCCTAGGGAGTCTGCAGAGAACCTCACACCCATAATTATGTTCTATTGAGAAAACCTGCCCCTCATCCAATTAACTGTTAATCTGTTAAGCGGAACCCGCCTCACATTCCAGCTATCCAGGGAACTAGGTGTGGCAACTTGTGACTCTTGGCCTACCTGACCGAGCTACGTGACCGGAACCACGTGGCGAGATCCAGTTGCCCTGCCCCCCATTCCTTACCATATATAAACTGTAACCCGTCCCTAATAAACGGAGGCTTTGACAAATCTGCTTGGCCTCCTTCTTCTGTCTTAGCTCATTCCCTTCCAGGTAGCGCCCCTCCGTGACCCTGGAATAACTGATTGCAGGGTGGGTTACAAACCCCTAGACTGAGTAACCCACCCCAAACGCAATCGACACCTTCTCTGAATTCTCCTCAGTTCACAGCACATAATAGATACATTATGAACTTTGTGGCTATTGAATTATGAGGAGTTCCAACAGAGGTCACCTACTTCCCTCTGGGGTACCCAATCTCCAGTACATTCTGTAAGTAGCTGACAGGTCAGTTTTCCCAAGGTCCAGTCAATTGACAATTCCTCATAAAGTCTAAATCCTTGTCCCAGCTTTGCCAATGCACTGACAGGAAGATTTTCCGGTGTCAAGTTCCTGTTAGTACTCAGAACTGATTCATAGCATCATAGACCCATTTTGTTCCTTTAGCAGACAATGGCTCTGCTAGAACATCGTCCCTTTGCTCTGCTTACCTTAGTCAATCCCGCCTTAGTTTCTTTTTAGGCACCTTTCCACCCCCATACTGACTTCAGTGAAGGTGACCCCTACCAGAGCTATGAGAGGGGAAGGAGTAGGCTTGCCTCTAGAAACAGTCCGAAGCTTACAGGTTCAGGATAGACATCTACCCGGTCAACAGGACACCCTGAAACTCTCTCTGGAAATCTACCTTCACGATGAGTACCAGTTTTCCAGATGACGGCTTCTCAAATGATGTCACATGATATTGGAGTCAGAGTCAACTCGGCGAGACGAGTGTGAAGGACAGAAGGGAACTGGCTTTGAAGGAGTGCTCCATCTACCTACCACCCAGGACAGAACCCACCCACAGACGTATCTGGTTAGATACAATAATAAGTGCTGTTTGGATGCCAACCAGTCTGGTCTGGGCTTTCTTCCTGGAATACCACATAAAAAGTCCACTAGCAAACGGTCTCAGCTCTGCATCCTGGCTCAAGCTGTGTCTCACCTGACATGACTTCATCTCCTCTGCCAGTCCAATGCGTGTATTCTCCAACACCCAATCACAAGCCACCGGCTGCAGCGTATCACTGCCTGAACTCCTCCAGCAAGAACCTTCTTGACCAATCCCTTTGCCTTTAACTGCACACTGACTTCTTACCGCCGTTTCAGGGTAGATTTCTCAAAATTCATGTAAATTCCTCTATGCTACAACCAGAAACTTCTGGAATACTGATCTGATTGTGGCACACTGACTGGGCATGTATCACATATTTCTTATGCAATCCAGAATTATTTTAGGTGATTATGCACTTTCTGAAAAATATTATAAAGTAAAACCCCCCTAGCAGCTCTATGAAATTATAAAGCAAAAAATTAAGTCAATACTTCAAAATATCTAAATCAAAATCTAAAGTTTCAAACATCAGCAAAATTCTTCCTATATCATAAAAAATCAATTTTTTTTTCCTGTTTTTCATGCATTGGCCCCTTGCAGTTTCTACTCAGT